CTCCTCCTCCTCCTCCTCCCCCTCCCGGTCCTCGTCCTCCTCCTCCTCCTCCTCCTCCTGCTTCAGCACACCTTTTCCTCCCTTCGATGGGGCAAACCATTGCATAAGCATAGACTTTCGAAGCGCCGTACGCATTTCTTGGGTCAGCGCTGACGTCATGATGCCCTCTGCCGTGCACGATAGCTGGCGAAGGGTACGTAGACCATCGCGCCGATGCGTTCCAACAGAGGAACAGTCAAACGAATCACCCACCCTCGGTGGCACCAGGATGAGGCCCAAAGTGAACAGTGGTCCCGCGTACCAAGGGCAGCTTACCATGCTTCTCCAGATCACCTCGGGCTCATCCCGGCCGAACGTTCGGAAGAGGTGACAGAAGCATGAAGCAGGAAGGCGTTGGTTGGGCTGCCGCCTGCCCCCCGAAGAGTAAGGAAAAGGGACAATCGCTCGACATCCTGGAATAGGAAGGCGCCTGAAGTAGATTGGAATCCTGGGTCACCTGTAACTTCGCGCGCCGCGGCCCCACGATGCGCCGACGCGTGGTGACGTTCGCGCCCTCGCGAGGCCACCTCTTGGAGAAAAGCACCTCCCTGGCCCGGGCCGCGACGCACGCAGCGCGAACACCTTCGCGCCCCCGGGGGGCGCCCCGGGGCATCGTCTCGTTCCCCGAGGCTGCCCCATGGACAATCAGTCACAGGGCATGCACGGAGACACACCAACGCTACACGTCCTCCTTGGAGGCGCGCGCGTCCGACCCGCACAGACAGTACACCCATGCCACAGTGTATCGTTTCCCGAGCGGTGTGGCCAGACAGCGCCCGCCACGCAGCGTGTACTGTGGGTTTTCTCGGTACGCGCGTCGCTCCTGGGGGGGGGGGGGGGGCGACGCACACGCAGTGCTAGTGTGGTGGGGTGACGCCGGTCACAGCCGGCTCGTGAGGCGGCGGCCCCAACGATCGTTCAACCTCGAGCAACCGGCGGCGTTCCTAGACGCCTCCTAGATGGGGTCCGAGTAGATGGGGTCGAAGGATCTCGCCGCATCGGCGATACATCGGCGATGCATCGGCGATGCATTGGCGATGCATCGGCGATGCATCGGCGATGAACCGGCGATGCATCGTCGACGTGGGCGATGCATCGGCGCCGTCGACGTTAAGCAAATCGGGCCCTACATCGAGCCGCATCGGCGATACATTGGCGATGCGGCGCGATCCTCCGACCCCATCTAGGAGGCCTAGAGTTCCGAACGCCACATCGCTCCGCATCGGACGGCTCTGGAGTCCCCACGGGTCTAGACCACATCCCTGGGACTGGGCTTTCCTCCCAGGTCGTTTTTCTTGTGGACGGTGCAGGGGCGAGGCAAGGACCGTCTCGGAGGCCAAAGACCGCGAGACACCTCCAGTCACATTTGTTTCTTCACGACGCGAGGGGGCCTGGGCCTCCCTCCTCCTCCTGCTCGTTGTCCTCCTCCTCCTCCTCCTCCTCCTCCTCCTCCTCCTCCTCCTCCTCCTCCCTCCTCCTCCTCCCCTCCTCCTCCTCCTCCTCCTCCTCCTCCTCTCCTCCCCCTCCTCCCTCCTCCTCCTCCTCCGGGACGTTGTCCTCCTCGTGGCGGTGCTCCGCCTCGAACGCCCGCGGCGGGGCCGCCGCCGCGCCGGCACCGCGCGAGCCTGCCGTGGCCGAGCCCTCCGCCCTCTCAGGAGGAGGAGGAGGAGGAGGAGGAGGGGGAGGAGGAGGAGGAGGAGGAGGAAGGAGGAGGAGGAGGAGGAGGCGGAGGCGGAGGAGGAGGAGGAGGAGGAGGAGGAGGAGGAGGAGGAGGAGGAGGAGGAGGGGGAGGAGGAGGAGGAGGAGGGAGGAGGAGGAGGGGGGAGGAGGAGGAGGAGGAGGAGGAGGAGGAGGAGCGGCCCCGGCCTCGCGGGTGTTCGACCGGGCGAGCTCGAACAGAGGGTGGGTGTACAGGCGCTCCTCCTTCATGAGCCTCGACGAGGAGAAGCCGAACGAGAAGCTGAGAAGTGAGCGGAAGAGAGGAGGGCAAGCGAGGTGGAGGGAGGATGAGAAAGAGAACGAGGACGAGGACAAGGAGACCAGGGCAAAAATGATGGGCACCCGCGGCCGGGAGAAGACGGAGACGAGGAGGGACGAGGAGGATGACAGGGAGGAGCAAGGTGGCATGGGCACGCACGCACGGGTAACAAGGAGGGTACGGCAGTTAGCCTTCCGGCGCCCCAGGTCCGCTGCAAAAGACGGCTTCAGAGGCGGCCCAAGACCACCTGAGGACGGCTGCCAATGCGTCCGACGACCAGGCAAAGACGGTGCAATGACACAGCGGCACCCCACTGGCTCCAAGATGTTCCCGAGGAGCCTCCGAGGTCGCGAAAAGCCCACCACGAAACGCCCACAAAGGCCTCCAGCGAGGCCTGGAGTGGGCCAAAAGCAATGAAACACATACGCAATTCAGTGGACCCTGCTTCCGAAGGCTTTCGGCTTAAGATCGCGTCGGGAAAAATTCACAGAGCCCCCCACCATCCTATAATCGGGGCGAACGCAAGAAGAGATAACACAGGATCATTAAGGGCTTGACGACGTCTACCGTCCCTCGACGCGCGCTGCAAATCTCTGGATTGATCTCGAGTTACTCGGATCTACTGAGAGCTATCTGCATTTACCTTGATTTATCCGGCTTGATCCCCACACAAGTCCATAGGCGAAAAATCGCCAAGCCCGTAGACAAATGGGGGGAAGCGAATCAGCTGCGTGCAGCTGGTTCTCCCGGCACCTCCCGGCGCCAGAGGCGGCCATGCATCGAGGAGCACACCCCGCGACGGGGCCGCAACTGGCCGCACGCACCAGGCTTCGTACTCCCCCCCTTCCAATCCCCCGCCCCTCGCGACCGCCCCGATCCTCCTCCTCATCCTCCTCCTCCTCCTCCTCCTCCTCCTCCTCCTCCTCCTCCTCCTCCTCCTCCTCTTCCTCCTCCTGCACCTCCTCCTCCTCCCGAACGGCCGCCAGGGAGCCAAGTTATGACCCGAAAATCAGGGGATGGGAAGTGGGGGGCGAGATCGCAGTGGAACAGAGAGCCCCCCACCAGGAAATCGGTTTCGGTTTCTTGTTCGTGCGGTGCATGCTGGCGAGGCGAAGCTTCGTGGGCGCGCGAAAGTAGAGATGCCGCCGTGGCTAGGGGCTGTGGAGCCGGTTGTCCGCCCTTCCAACCCCCTGGCGCGCCATGGCCAGGGGTGTCCCGTCGGTGGCGCGTCGGTGTCCCGTCGGTGTCCCGTCGGTGGCGCGTCGGTGGCGCGTCGGTGTTGTCTGGAGCGCGCCAGGTGGGATGACAAACAACAGCACTCATCGCGACCAGCATCATCATCATCATCATCATCATCATCATCATCATCATCATCATCATCATCATCATCATCATCATCATCATCATCATCATCATCATCATCATCATCATCATCATCATCATCATCATCATCATCATCATCATCATCATCATCATCATCATCATCATCATCATCATCATCATCATCATCATCATCATCATCATCATCACGCGTCGTCGCCAACCCGAGGGCGCAGCACCGGCATCGTCCTCATCACGACCACCAAGATTGCCATCAGTTGGTCTTTGTTCCCTTCCCCAACCTCCTTATCACCCGAAGGGAAGGTATGTGTAGATGCTAAGGTGGTCTACGCATGGCCTAGTACTAGGTCGGGCATGTCCCCCTACAGGCGGGCTTTGGGCGAAAAAAATCTCAAACTATACTCCAAACTGGTCCAAAAATAATCGGACAATCGTCCCCGGAGTAGTTTCTGACTCTTCTTGAATATTCCTCCTGCAGAGGGACAAGCCCGACTTACGCCTAGTATAGATAGATAATAGGTGGGCTCTGAGCGCGCTGGGTGGCTCGAGACATGGACCGAGTGGGCTGCGCCCGCTCGGCGGAGTCCTCGAACCCACCCACAAGCCACCCAGGGCACGCGTTGCCACCCACTCATCCAGTCAGTTCACGCCAAGTCTGACCCACCTCCCAGCGGCGGGCGAGGGGGGGAAGTGGGAAGGGGCGGGCCTTCTCGGCAGGCTCAGAAGTCCCTCGGCCTTCTGAAAAGTTCTCCGAGCCGCCACCGAGGACACAGTCGACCTCTCAGAAGGCGGCGGCGTGTCTGAGAAGCCCCGCCACCTTCTGAGAAGGCCTCCTCCTCCTCACTTCTCCCCCTCTCTCGCCGCCGAACCTCAGCATCCAGCGGCCACCCCCCGCCCAGCCCCTTGGCAGCCCCCGCGGTCATCCTGGCATCTCCAGCGTGCTGCCCGCCCGTGCCGGGCCCCGCACGGCCCCGTGGGAGGGCATCGCGAGGGGCCCGGGGTCTCCGACGCTCCGGGCGCGAAGGAGTCGGGAGCGAGCAACGGAAGGGGTGGGGCCTCGAGGCTCCGACTTCGTGTTTTCTTGACGTGGGCCCCCAGAGGTCTGGACTCCTCGCCTCCTCCTCCTCCTCCTCCTCCTCCTCCTCCTCCTCCTCCTCCTCCCTCCTCCTCCTCCTCCTCCTCCTCCCTCCTCCTCCTCCTCCTCCTCCTCCTCCTCCTTCTCCTCCTCCTCCTCTCCCTCTCCTCCCTCTCCTCCTCCTCCTCTCCTCCTCCT